TAGTCGCTCTAGTACTTCCAATCATTTAAACACTCCTAATATAATAGGTAGGTTCTAGGAAACTAATCGTTCTAATTTCGAAGATTCCGAAGACAATGCTACTTACTTTAGCAATTTAAACGAAGAAGACTTTAACAACTATAATAGACCTAATACTCCTAAGACCCCGGATAATAACTATAGCGGTATAGGTAATTAAAGTACCTTAATTCAACGAAGATGGAATAGCATTAACCGATTAGAAAATACTTATTCCAAACTTTTTTAAGAACTAACCCGTACTAGTCTATAGGCTATTTAAAAAACTAATAATATTCTACTTCGTTTATAATATAATCCTATTACCGATAATTACTACTATATTGCAAATCCCGGAATTCCTAAGACCCTGTTACTTAGAGATATCCCGAGAGGTATCACTATACCGGGGGATAATTTAACTATAATTAATAAAATTCATAAAGAGTTCTAATAAGTATTATTTCTATTTTATTACAATTAATTTTTTAAAATCATTATCAAATAGGTATATAATTACCAAATCGATGCCCGGAAGACTAGGTTCAAAATCCTTCGCAAATATACCTTAGATACGTACCGCACTTTGAAATCTTATTACCTTATTACAATTATACGGTAATTCTTCTTCGATATTATTTTAGATAACCCTTATATCCTTAACTATAATTTGGATACTCCGAATCTATAGTATAAACGAGAATTTAAGACTTTAATTTTAAATTGGATTAACAAGTATACTTTCGATTAGATATATACGTATATCGTTAAGTATATTAACTACGAGGAAATATTTGGTAATAAGTAATTACTCGTTTAGTTCTATATAGAAATGGAATTTTAGGATATAAGTCTTATTTGGCTTCGGGTTATTAAATTCGAGCGGGTTATAAATATAAATTATTAATTAGGTAAATTATAGGTTATAAATAAGAATTTCCATCGGGAAATACAGTACAAATACGAAATTCTATCCTTTATACCTTAATATAAGGATATTGAACGCGACTAATTTATTAATATACTATTAGAATAAGTTACCATAGTTATTAATCTATCTAAAGCTTTAGATTTAGACTACTTTAAAAATACCCTTATCGATAAATTGCCTCTTCTACCTAGAACCGACAATTATCCGATGGCTAATCGATAGCAACTTATACCGGCGGAGAAAGAATATAATATTTTTAATTTAAACTATCCCAATAATAATATAAATAGTAGTAGGTGTAGCTATAATAAGGATAGGAATGGTTATAGTTATTAAAGTAACTATATTGACTATTAATATAATTAGTAGTAGGGATATAGATCCTAAAGCGACTACGGTTATAGCTCCTAAGGTAGTTATAGCTATAGTATTAATTATAATAATTAGAGCTATAGTTATAATAATGGTAATTACTATAATAAACGCAGTTAATATTCTAGCGGCTATTCTTCCTAATAAAGCTACTAGGGTAGTATAGGCAAGGGTAGTCCTCTATATTATAAGTAATCCTTAGTATAGTCCCTAATATTATAGCCCTTAATATAGTAGCCCCTAGGGTAATTATTAATAAGACTATTGAATAGGTATGAATAGAGGTGGTTATGGTCAAAATAACTATATAAATTGTAAATATACTCTAATTCGGTTATTTAAATAGGAATATCAATTTTAAGTCGGTGGTCGTTACAATATTCCGTACAATGAAGCATTTCCCGATTTTCGAAATAAATGTCCTGGTCCTCTTGGTCCTCCTAGTCCTCCTAGTCCTCCTAGTGGTTATAGTAGTCATGGCGGTGGTCGAGGTGGTTGAGGTAGTCGAGGTAGTCGAGGTGGCCGATTATTTTTAATAGTTACCGGCATTACGCCCCCTATTCCCAGGCGCACTCGCATACCCCTTACTGCGACTTCTAATAGTATATTTGCTTTAATATTGGAATCGGAGATAGTGGACATTAGTATAAAGTCTTTACATCTTTAAATTATATCCAGTACATCTAGTATTGTATTATCAATATTATTAGACTATTTATATAATTATTACTTATTAACAATATCGTCGTATTTAGCAATATAGCAATCAGCGATACTTTTAGATATACCTTCATTGCATTTAGTAGTATAGTAATTAGCGATACTTTTAGATATGCTTTCGTCGCATTCTATAATACAGTAACTAACAATACTCTTAAGTATACCTTCGTTGTATTTAGCAATAGCTATACTAACAGTAGATTCTATAATTACATCAATAGGTAGATCTTTATTTATATTATTCTTTAATATACTATTTTATTTCATACGTAGTAGTATTAGTAGTAATAATAGTAATAGTAATAGTAATCGACCGCGCTAGGGCGGTCTTCAATTAGTAAAACCCTCCTATCGCAATTACTTTTAATATTTACGACCGTAAGATCCACCCGTATATACGACTTTAAAACAAGTATGAGCCTATAATTATAACTTCCTTTCTAGGCCTTTTTCACGACTTGGTATATTGTAACGCCCTACGGTAAAATGTTCTCCGACAGTAAATTGCGAACTAACGGTAAAATACTATTTACATTCTTATAACGGTAATTTGATGGTAAAAATGGATTTACAGCTCTAGGACGGTAATGTGATTGCAAATAGGCTTCTATATACCCCTAGCTAAGTACTATACGAAGACGAGCGACAGCCTAGTCCGAAAAAAGGAAGTAAATCGAAGAATTTAAATTAATATCCCAGACTCTGCCAACGATACGTATATTCAACCTAGAATCATCAGCAAATTGATAGACATACGGCGAATTTACTATCCTATTACTAGAAAATCCTACTTACTTCTTTCTACTATATTAATATCTAATTAATTTCGTTGTACCTTATCTAGAGTATACGAATTGGATTACGGTCTATGGATCTTACAATTTACTATTAGCAATCTATAGTATAGTAAGAAATTATTATTTGCCGATAGGTATATTTACCTATTCTATATCCGTCCTATGCCTATACCGAGATACCGAACTCCCCAAGTACTAGCTGCCAGGCAATATAATCGACTGATAGTAGCATTCACACAGTAATCTAGTATATTACTCTAGGAGCCCGGCCGAAGTATTATAAGTATTTGCTCAATGTGATGCGCGTGTGTAGTATATATGATGTTAGTACACGTCAGTATAATTATACTACTCTAATACCCCTCAAGAGTAGGTTAAGAATATGCCTGACTATTAATGTTATTAAATGACTACCCAAGAACACGCCTGAGCTCCTTTTTCGACCCGAGATCGGGGGATATAGTTAATATAAATTAATATCTAACTCATATTAATACCCTTCGACGTTATACCTTCGGTATTGGTAACTATATTAGGTATTACCGCCCCGGTCCCGGCCCCGGCGCCCCCGGGGCCGGCGATAATAATATTGGCCGTAATAATCACATGTTTACATACGAGTAGAAGAAGTATAATGAACGCCGCGTTTTCCTTGTATTAACTAGAGTTAAGCCTATTGATTACATTGATCGTACTTTTGAACTACAGCTCATTGAACAGGGCGAGCTTCTAATTATTAATTTACTAGTTTTACTCACAAATAGGGTATATATTATAGATATTTCGAAAGTCTATAAACGTAGCTATAATCATTATTAACCTCGCCTAGTTTGGGTGAATTGGGATATTATATAGATGTGATAGTAAGTATCTCGCTAATCCTCCTACCTTCTTTTACTAAAATATCTTCTAGTTCGTTTGAATAATCTTATTAGTATAGGGATTCGTAGTATGTTTAAGTTATTATCTTCTGCCTTCGGTGGTAGGTGGTATGCTAATGAGTAACCCTCCGCACACCCACCCCATTCCCTACTTACACCCAAAATCCAAAAATTGTGGGACCATACAGCTGATAATACTTAATATTGTAAATCCCGTTTTCGGGTTATTTCTTTCACGCTTTTTCCTACAATCAATTATACCCATTACCGCCAGCCATTTACACGTCGGATACCAACAACGTCGCATACTAACAACGTCGTATACTAATAACGTTGTATATTAACACCTATTATTATCCCTACTATATTGAATTTCGTTTAAATTATTTACTTTTAATTGCCTATAGATAGTATTAATTCATAACTGCCGGACCCCCATCTGAAGGAACAGTCGCCCAACAGTCGCTCAACGGTCTATTGTTCCTTCTAGTGTATTAGTGAAATTCCGTCCGCAGACGGTTACATAGATCCTACGGTCCGCGGACCGTAGTGTCAGTCCACATTTAGCAAGAGCAATTGAACTTTTACACCGTAACCGACTCCAGAGCAGGAAGGAGCTTGCGCGAGCGACCGTCGCACTACATATTAAGGAAGTCGCGATCAATCGTATAGTACTAGTGATTCAAATTGTACGAATATCGATTGATTACCTGTATTGTAGTGCAGTGCATTTCTCTACGGACCCACTATATTAGCTACCTTAGTCAACTGCAGTACATCCGCGCTATAGAACCCCGGCCTATCGTGGCGGTTGCCCAGCACCCAGCATATAACCTACCCCGAATCCCGAATCCCGATCCCCATCAGCCCCCCTATAGCCTACCTAGCAGCCAATGAATGTAATGTATATAATTGAACGCTATAGTTAATAAATAAATATAATGCGCGAATATTAATACGGCGGGCTATAAAACTTCTAATAGCCGAACCGACCGGAGGAAAATCCAATATCTATAGTATACGCCCCCCCTACTGCCCGGCGGCCAACGCTGCGCGCCGGCATAGATAAAACAATTGCGTAAATACAATGTGCGATTAAATTATATATACGATTAGGAAGCAGTACGCTTATAGTAATAAAAATACTATAGCGGGCTGTTAGATTTCTAATAACCGAGTTCTACGGAGGAAGATCCGATGTTTTAGTACTACTATATGGCAATATGGCGGAGTAATATAGTAATAATACGAGTTAGGATAATACAATTCCGGAGATAAAGACTAAATACAATACCTATAATACAAACGAGTTGAATATTAGCCATTAGATCGTCAAAGCGCTTATATATTACGTACCTTCTAGAAATTATATAACTCCCTATAGATAAGTAATATATAGTTAGACAATATTCATAATATAAATTGGATAATCTATATCAAAATAATATCCTAAATTACCTAGGCCTAAATAGGTTAATAGCTACGTTTCTCGCAGTCTATCAATTTCGAGACATTAATAATATAAATGCGGTGCGCTTGGATAGCTAGCAGTCCAATAATAATACACTCGTTGGTATCTTCGACCATTAGCAAATTTAACTATAATATTATCCGTCTAGGTATAGTAATAGGCACCACTTTAGTTAGTACAAGGAAGATACGGCATTCTTGCATGCGGGATTGCTCATATGTGAAGATGTGATCTATACGGCCGAATTTGCCGTTATCTACATCCCTATACTGAATATAGTCGCCAATCTTAAAGGTGTACCGCTTGTAGGTTCTATATAAAGAAAGTTAGCTTAGGTTCCTTTGTATAACGACAGACTATTATAAAAGCATCGATACTGTGCCTGCATTATTAATATTGCAGGACATAGTATAATAATACATATATTAATACTGTAATATAATAGCCGGCGTTATGTCTATCGCTATAACCGTCTGTGTAGTATTCGTCTAGAAATCTAGTATTCTCCAACTGATTAAACATATTGACTAGTAACAAGTTAGGACAACGGTAGGGATAGAAATAAGGACAAGGATAGGAATAAGGATAGGGATAAAAACTTACTTATTTGAAAAGGATACCCAGGTACTATATTATATAATACCAAAACCAAAGACCATATATGGTATACTATAATCGAATTCGTACGCCTACTTTAGAGCCCGACAAAATACATTTACTATTTATTTAGAAGTTAGCAATAGGCAATATAGTTAACTAGTATCGCAATTAATTCCAATAGCAATAGGGTAGTATATCCTCTTTATTAAACCGTCTTGGAATCTTCCGGACACTACTAGGCGCAAATAGGTGTCGTCTACTAAGCGATTAATATTGAATTCGTCGTCATTATTATCTATAAGTCCCATTCGAACTTGATCTTCCCGTTGCAGCATTTTTTCGAAGATACTAGGGGTATACTAAGCGAATTCGTTAATCTAGCGTATTAATATAGGGTCGGATAGGGCGAAAGTATTAAGTATAACGAATTGAATAGTATGTACAATACATTCGTATTAAAGGATAAACCTTTCAATATCTCGGCTATTAATAGTCTCTATTATCTTTTTAAGGCGTTTGGAAGTCGTTATTGTTAGTATTAATTCAATTAATATCGTTATTGAAGCTAATCGCTTTTTCATAACAGTCTACTTACAATAAAGAAGTAGGCCCGGTACGGCACACAAGCTTCCCGGCGCCAAGACTTATTAAGCGAATTTTCATTTTAAGGGCGGCCATTTCAGGGGCATATAGCAGGCCGCGGAGACTTACTTATAATACTTCTCTTCTACCAGCACATTCAAAACACCTAGCGGACTATATTTATTATATATATCCCCGTAGTATATACTAATATAAATATTAGGACGCAGTGCCTTTTTAATATACATTTTTATACGCTATAGCAAGCCGGTATTACTGGCTTGGGCTATTGCATCGGCTACTACGTCGGCAATAGGGGCAATATTATCCCTATCGTCTATATCATCGTTATCGTTAATTACTATATTTATATTATTATTATTATTATCATCGAGGACAATAAACGGAACTAAAGATGGCCGTCCCAATATCGAAGGTATAAATAACCGTTTCAATTGTATAGCTATTAATAACCGCCTAGATAAAACCTATGATAGTAGTAACTCGGTTGTACGCGCCTTAGTCTTGAATGCTTCGGTTCTCGGGTTTTTGGCTATACTTTCTGCCGCCGCTTGGCACATCAATATATACTATTGTCTTCCAGCATAAATAAAATCTTCCAAATACTCGTACTCTACTTAGGAATTCTTAGTATTTATGAATACTAAATTACTACGAGCCATTATAACTAGAGCCTTCACTACAGCGCCAATACAATTATCGTCGGTTAGGTTGGGTCGCCACTTATTGTACAGTTTGTCTTTCCAAGCGTCCCAGATATATAGATCAAAATAATCTTTATCTAATTACGCCTCAAACAGAAGGGGTGCAATAATAGACCATTTACTATATGCTAATAATTCGTAACTTTTAATATAATATTTTAGTAACAGTATAGAACTCCAATCAGGGGGGAATAGCCACTTTTATAGGTTACAGTAATATTCAAGCCTGGAAGTAGGTATAAGGAAGGCATCTATCAACATCTCGTACATATGTATTGTAATGCCTTCAAATTCGGAATACGCTGGGTCGGGTAGGCGAATTATTATTGTATTTAAACCTAGTATTAAGTCGAATAATACTGGCTATATCTTACTAATACCCTATTGAGTCTAGTAAATTTTTTTATCCCCTTTTTTCTATAAATTATAGTCAACCTTGTACTTTATTTGTAGGTAATAATCGTAAAATCGATTAATACTGAAGGTATCGTTAATAATATTCCATTTATTAACTATATAGTCTAGTCTAATGAAGTAAAATCGACAGAATTTCAACCTAGCAGAACCGGTCACGCCACAATTCTTATCTTATTAAGGCACATTACTAATATAATATATAGTAAATACTAATACTACTTACTATTGGTTTCCCCCTAATATCCATCACAATACCTTCGTTAAGCGGCATCAAATAGCCCATTGCATTAATAACCGCTTCGAAATTGGATACGTACGGGCCGAATACTGTTAGGAAAATATTAGCGTTTCTAGTTCGACCTTTTCTATATAGTAAACCGGCTGGCGATTGGTACATCCCCATACCCAATCGGCGTATATTACAATATATACCAACCTATTAACAAAAATTAATATTGAATAGCTTAAAACCTCTAAAGCCGGGTTTTTAACCTTATTCCAATATTCTTCGAAGACTTACCGGCTATATATCTTAAACTCGATTTCAGTACGAAGCAATTGAATTAAAGCAAGTGGAATAATCCTTCTACCGTTAATAATCTCCTCCCGCAATATACGTCTAACCAAATAGTGACCCCTTCTCTTAGTATTATCGAATATAGTCGGATACTTCCTAAATAGCTTTCTGGGTTTTTTCTTCGAATTGTCGATTGGGGGACTAGGGTCATTTAACGGGTTACTATTAAAGAAATTAACTAATCTAGGTACAAAATTGTCGGCTAGGTATTCGGGAATTCAATATTCCTGCTCTATACGCAGTACTAATTCGTAATTTTTAAAGTCTTTATTAACCTATACACTAAGGCCGACACTAGGGAATTCATCTTCGATATTATTAATCATTAAATATTCTTAAATAATTAGGGTAACCTCGCCTGGATAGTCAATATACTCGCTAGTATAATTATTACTAACGGCTTTAATACGCCCGATATAGAATATATAGTCTATACTTTTATAGGGTAATCGGTATAGGTAGTTATAGCTATCGATATTATCGAGGTATCGAAAGTAGATAAAATCGGACGGGAAAATAGCCTTACTAATATCTTCTAAATTAATTCGATTATCGCCAATAAAATACGTATATTAGCTAGATATTGTACGAATTAAACTTAACTAATAGAGTATATAGTATAATTTGATAGGGTTATCTACAAAGTAGGCTATACCCCTATATATTGCCGCGGCTGGATCGGAATTTAGAAAGGCCTAGAAAAGGGATTTAGGATCCATAAAATACAATAGTAATATAATTACCGAAGGGTTATTAATTTCTTTAATAATAGAGTTAATACCGGCCGCTTCCTACTATTATTATCGCCTAGCTTATTCCCTTTTGCAATTAACTAAATCAGTCTTCATCTTAGCCATCTATAGCGGTATTCGTGTAATATATATATTTAATAGTAATAACCGTCTTACAATCTTGCCTTTTAGGCATAGCAGCCGGACCCCTATCTGAACATACCGTACACTAATAGTCCTTCGACGGTCTATAGCTCTTTCCGGTACCTCGGTGAAAAACCGACTCGATATAGTTACTTAGAGCGAACCGTCCTAGGACCGTAGCTTTAGCTTATATCTGGTAGGCGCGAATAGGCTCCTACACCCAAAGCTGAGGGTCGTTCGTTGGGTGCTAAATATGTTAGGAAGTTACAATTAATTATATATACGAATATACAACTGGTACTCCAGACTATACGGATTATTCTACGGATCTACTAGCTACTTGCCCCTACACTACCGCCTACCCAACGCCTAGCGTACGGCCTACTCCGATTCCGGTACTATACTACTACCCAGCATTTCTACCATCCGTATTCCCAGTATCCGTATTCCCAGCGGCCGGCGTAATACGCTAATAACCTAATATAATATATAGAATATAATATAGTAGTAATTATATTTTTGTAGTTGATATATTGTAGTTAATTAATAAAAGTACAATAAAAGATTAAATATATTTACACCGTATAGGGATTGTGCTTATAATGTAGTACTTGGCTATTATAATCTGTGGTTGTTAGACTTCTAATATACTGGAAAATTAATCTAATATAGTAGTACTAAGCGCTAGGATTTAGTATATATATTAGTAATATTAGTAATTAAATTAGTAATTAAATAAATAAAACGAAATAATAGAGATTAGGGCTAATGTGTTGGTAATACTTGTAGGCCTAAATGAACTATTAAAAGTTAATTATACGATCTAAGCGGGTAGGTATCGATTTACTTAATGGAATTATAGATAGCTACTATTATTATATTTTATATATTATCAATATTGTTAGATAGGGATTCGGAAATATATAAAATAATACTACTAAAGATAATCTATATTAAAATAATATCCTAGTCTATCCAAACCTATATAGGCTAATGACCGCGTTTCTATCGATCTCTGAGCTTCGAAATATTAATAATATAAATACAGTCTATTTTGAACATTAGAAGGCCGATAATAATAGATTTATAAGTATCCTAAATTATAGGTACCTATAGGTAAGTAACGGTTTATATAGTAGGTATAGGTACTATTTTAACTAATATAAGAAAAATACGATATTTATTTATACGGGTTCGCTCGTATACAAAAATATAGTCTATACGGCTAAAGCTATCGTCGTCCCTATAGCGGATATAATCGCCCAAATTGAAGGTATAATATTTAAAGGTCCTAGTATCCGAATAGTTAGCTTCCATCCATTCTATTATTTGTATTAATCGATAATACTATATAATATAGTATAATATAATATAATATAAATATTTAATTTCTTATTAGGATGGTTATTTACTATGACCGCCTATGCAATATTCGTCCGGAATATAGTCTTTTCTAATTGATTATAAATATCGATTATTTAGGAGGAAGGTAATAATAGGGATAGGGATAGCGATAAGGATAGGGGTAAGGATAGGGATAAGGATAGTAATAGGGTAGGGATTTATTTATTTAAGAATGATATTCTATTGTTCTATTGGATAATACTAGGATTGAATACTATATATAATATATTATAGGTAATATTATATACTTAAATTAGAGTACGACGATATATATCTAAAATCTACTTGGATATTAATAGTAAATAGTATAACTAGCTAATATTTCGGTTAATATCCATTATAATAGGGTGGCGAGTTTTCCTTATAATATTAATTTTGAATTTGCTAGATACTACTAAGTGAAGATGCGTATTATCCGCTAAATAGTTAATATTGAATTTATTATCGTTATTATTATTACTATTACTATTACTATTTAATAGTCTAATCCGAATTTATTCTTTTCGATATAGTAATTTTTCGAAAATTCTAGGCGTTTATCTGGTTAGGTCGTTGATTTGGCGTATTAGTGTAGGGTTAAATAGGGTAAAGGTATTTAATATAACGAAACGGATTATATAGACGATATATTCGTATTGGAAGATAAATTTCTCGATACTTTAGCTATTAGTCGTGTCTACTGTTTTTTTTAAGCGTTTAGAAGTTGATGTTAGTTTAAATTTAATTAATTATTATAGTCGGCTTTTTATATTTCACCCTACGATTAGGTAGGCCCAGTACGGTATATAAACTTCCTAGCGCTAAGACTTATAGAAATTAAATATAATAAATAGATATAAATTTATCTATAATACTTCTCTTTTATTAGTACATTTAATAAAGTTGGTAGACTATATTCTTTATAAATACTATTATAGTATATACCTATATAAATATTAGGTTGTAATACTTTTTTAATATATTCTTTTATATACTTAGGTAAACCGGTGGCTTTAGTTACTACTTCGGCTATAGAGGTAATATTATCCCTATTATTAATTGCTATATTTATATTCTCATTATTGTAATTATTGTTATTAATACTAATAATTAATATAGTTCTCGATTGCTAGGATTAGGCTATAAATAAATATTTGGAAGATTGTATAAATGACGGTCTAAATGAAGCCTTTAATAGTAATCTAATTAAGCGTGCTTTTATTTTAAAAGTTTTATTTACTTGGGGATTCCTAGCGGTACCTTCTACTATAGCCTAGTATATTGTTATATACTATTACCTACTAATAAGGATAGTATTATTGAATTATTTATATTATTCTTATATATTTCTAGTATTTATTAATACCGAATTACTGCGAGCTATTATAGCTAATATATTATATATAACTTTAATATAATAATTATTACTTAGATTAGGGTTTTGATATTTTTTACCTAGGAGTTCCTTCTAAACTTCCTAAATATAGAAATTAAAGTGATCCTTTTCTAATTATACTTTAAAGAGAAGGGGTACAATAATAGATTATTTACTGTAGGTAAACAACTTATAACTTTTAAGGTAGTACTTTAGCGACGGTATAGAACTCTAACCAGGAGGAAATAACTATTTTTATAGTATACAGCAATATTTAAGCTTGGATTGAGGTATTAAGAATATATCTATTAGCATTTCGTATATATATGTAGCTATACCCTTGAATTCCGAATACACTAGGTTAGGGGGGTAGGTTATAATAATATTTAAGCCCGGGGTTAAATCGAATAATACTAGCCGTATTTTACTAATGCCCTATTAGGTTTGGTAAGCTTTTTTGTCCCCTTTCTTTCGTATATTATTTTCTAGTTCGTACCTCATTTGAAGGTACTTAGCTGGGCATATATAGAAGGCTTGAAACAGGTACCCTACTGTTATTTTATAGTACCTTATATATAATAGTTGTACGACGGTTGGTAATAAGGAATAGTCGCTGAACTATATAAATAGTTATCATTTTGGTTGTGGTTGTTATTTTTCTACGGTTGCCGTATTACTATAGTCCTAGGGCGGTTCCTGGTTTATAATTATTATTAAATAAGAAGGTCCAACCTATTCGAAGAAGTAGTAGGGTAAAATATATTAGAATATAGGAAAGTAAATATAGATTCGGGCTCCTTCCGGATTTTGTCATGCTAAAATACTAAGTTAATAGAGGTGGAACTACTATCCCCTAAATTCGGGTAAAATAGTACATATTACTACGATAACCAATTATATTATTTGATTAAATATAGTATTAATAGTAATAACGGTACCGATAACGATACCGATATAAATAAATATATTAATTAATTCAGTTCGTTAGGATACGGGACGATATTGCTCCTCCGACTCTCTAATTCAATAGAACTATTAGGATACGGGATATCGTCGTTATTCCAATTTGGGCAGAGAACTAATCTAGTAGTTAATTATAGTACAATTAATTAAAGGTTGATTCTAATATTAGATATTGTAATCCGGAATGATATTATATTATTAAATACTACAATACTTATTATAATGGTTATTATAATACTCTTTATAATCCTTATTATAATATTATATACAGTAATATTATTAAATAACTATTATTAATTATCGTATATAATAATAAAAACGCTAGGCGCTAGGCGTTAAACGTTGGAAATAATTAGTAAATTAAAGATCTAAGGAGTTTATACCCTCTTTAAGAGTAGCCGAATCTAATATAGTTAATAATGGAGTAGGTTTGCGGTTGCTCTTAGGAATGTAGGGTGTGATATTAATAGTATTATTAGGACGACTACTGTGCTTATAACGGAATATAGGAATATTAGTAGTTAATAATTTCGTACGATAGTCCCTGCCCAAACGATTATAACGGTAGTTAGGGAGGTTATTATTATTACTATTGTCGTTACAGTTATAATTAATTGAGATTTAGTATTATAATATAATATTCTAGTATTAATTAGAAGAATCGCCCTTTGTAAGTGTAAAGTGTAGCTGGCTGCGGCTTCTATTATTATTACTACTACGACGATTATTACAACGATCATTACGGCGATTATCACGGCGATTATTACGGCGATCATTACGGCGATTATTACGGCGATTATTACGGCGATTGTTACGGGGGCGCTCGTAAGGACTGCTACGGTCGCGAGGGCTGTCGGTTGTAAAGCCCGGGCTAGAAATACGACGAGGGCTATTGCTTTGGCCGCTGCTACTAAAACGATTACTACTATTATAACGATTACTATTACTCTAGCTACTATTGGGCTGGCTATTAGCCTCCGGAATATATAATAGTATCGGCCGCTATAGATCTTGGGCACCTATAGGGACTATCCTATTACGCTAGTAGAGGGGAGGATTCTAGGTAACGGAACGCTTAAGGATTTCTAAATTTATATTATTGCGAGTAATTTGTAGAATAATGAATTTAAGAGGATTTCGTTAAATATGAGTAAACCTCGGTGCACCCACCCCAAAACCTGCGCGCACCCAAAAACCCTCTGGGCAGCCGACATTGAAATTATCGTATTTTTGAAGTGTTTTTAGTCGTTTTGAATGTCTACTGCCTTGGTCAGATTTGCCAGCTGGGTCACTCAGTTATGTGAACCCCCGTGTGATTTAGTAACCCCCTAGTTACCTAAATTTCGTGATACTTTTATAGCGTTGAGTGTAAAATACTGGGAATCGACCGCTCTGTTCAATTAATGCCAATTGCAGATAATTAAAGCTAGTTAATTCAAATCTAATCTAGATACTAACGTCTAACAGCTCTAACAGCTCAGAGAGCTCGTTAGACGAGCCTAATAATAATATTTTAATAACTTTATCGCTCTTTTAACGAGCTATCTATTCTCGAGCCCTTGCTACCTAATATTTACCTAACTCATTGTCTTTATTATCCTCCTCCCCGTCGTCGGCTACATTTATACAACTACGTACTTTACTCCAAGTATAACTATAAATATTATTATTATCTATCTCTTTAAGTATAGGACCGGCTTCGTATTGTAAATAGTTGCGCCGCCCTACTGCTTGGATAGGTTAGGTATTCTTTAATCTACTATACGGCGCTACGGCTTTCTTACTAGCCTTTTTGACCTAATTTAGTAGAATAGCCTCGTTACTAAACGGGCCACCCTACTTAGGAGGGCGTCCCTTGGGTATAGTTTTAGCGGCCGGGCGAAAATGTAGATATTTATCTACTGTATCCTAATATAATTATTAATATATAGTTGAACTAGAGAGGGGATAATTATAATTTTATTCATCGTTAAATAAAATACTAAAATGGATAGTAGTCGTTTTTAGTAATTAAAGCTATTTTACCAACTTCCTTCTTAACTTCTATCTCGTAAGTATAAGGTAGACTAAACTGCGCTCTAAACTACTAAATATACAATTAGAGAGCTTTACTAGGGTATTTCAAAGTAGGGAGGCTACCCTTCAATTAGTTATACTAACCAATAAATAAATCACATACCCAAGTCGTAATACTAAGCGGAATATTACCCACCCATAGGAGCCCGATTATATCCATACATACACAGGAGGATAACTTAACAATAATCTCTTTAAAGTGAATATAGCAGCAGACAGTATACTACTTACTAATATAATATAGATTAACTAAACCGCCGCGTACAAATAATCCGTATAATTTAAAAGAGCCGTTATTAAATTTACTAAGCAACGTAGTTCTTTACCCATAGTTAAAATACTCTTTAATATAGCAACCAACCCACTCTATCTTACAAGGGAGTAATTCGGTCGTGATCCATCTAATAATAGCTCCCTATAAGCCTCCAAATTAACGATATAGAAATAATAAAGCGCTTTTAAACTCCGGTATCGATAGCGCGTAGATTATATACTACTATACGTAAACGAACCCTATTCTAATATTAATAACCTTATTAGGAAGCGGGCCTAGCCCAACCTACGTTTTAGTAATTATTTTAACCTTCTTATATATACAACGTACTCTAGCAATATAATCTTAATTATATTAATCCATTACCTCTTATTATAATTATTATACTACCGCTTCATTACTACTAAAATCGTCTCTACCGCTATCCTCCCCATCAAACCCCTCCTTATCCTCCTCCTTATTACTAAACTACTACTTATCGGCCTCATTCTATACCACATCATCTTAATCTATACGTTACCAATCATCTTCAAAGTACTTAATAATATTATAATTAATATACTATACGCAATACTAATATTGAATATTTAGGAAAATTTAACTAATAATTCTAATTAACTAATTATTACCGTCAATTATAATAATCGCTAATTCGGGTATCGAAATATTATTTATCGTCTTCTTAATATATTCAACGAATTAGCTAAATACCTTATTCCTCTTATTATTAATAACTATTTAAAAGACTAGTATAGACGACTTCTCTAGTATAACTATAATACCTTATACAATTAATATATTATCCCGGTTAATTTTATACGTAGCATTAAATAGTAGGGTATATAAGTATCGCCTCCATATCTTCCTTTACTTATACAAAACCAAAAGACCGTAGCGCAATATAATAACTTCCTCGTCTTCAAAACCGTCATTATTAATACCGTAATTAAAATAGTAGTATCTAAATAATACAAACTTATTATTCTCAATAGTACGCACGAACACTTACATATCAGTATATCCACTATTATCGATTCAACGTAACTATTAGCGCTAATTATCGAAGTCTTTATACGTAAGCAACAATTTAGGGAACTTGGTCTTAATTATTATATATATACTACATATAGTCAACTCGCATTATTAAAGAAGACCCTGGATATACGGCCAACTCTCCATATCGAACCACTATCGGAAGATTAAATAGCAAGAGAGGTCGCAAAACGGAGGATAACAATAATACACGCAATTAACTACCCGTACAATATATTTATAATCGTTCTTCTTAAATACCTGAACAACGATACTAAATAGGCATTTACATAAGGTCTTTCTAATCGTTAAACATCGTTCCTCATACGGATTTCTAAGTTCTTACAATCGCAATTCAGCGCAATCACATTTAAAAACTCTACAATACACTTCCCCAACTATAGACCCCGTTTTAAAGTAGTCGCTACGTACGGTCGTAATACCGAACCTGCAACACCAACACATCTCAACGACATCGCGCATAACTATATCAATATCGCTAGGAGGGAGGCTAAACAATACGTCGTCGGCAAGTATAGACTATTCAATATTAATATCGAGTAAGGCATAGCTATTTACGAAGGAGGCCGACGAAGTAGTAGAATTGCAACGCCGACGAGGCTATACTAAAGCGGGGGCATCGTAGATAGCTTAAGAAGATATTTATTAAACGTTAGTAATTAAATACAATCAATACCATTTACAGGCGATCAACGGCGATTAATTTAAATAGAGTTACGTACATTAGTAGTAGTTATAGTGGTAGGTACTAAATCGTATACTATACTGTACGCGATGTACAAAAGGGGTGCAAATGGCCGTGTGAAAAAATGGGGGAGGAAATGACCAAGTTAGAGGGAATGTTACGTGCAATAAAAATGCGAAATTTAGCTAGTAAAAACGGGATTTACAATGTCAGGTGTCATCAGCTGCACAATCCCACATTTCCTGGTTTCTGGGTGCGCGTAGGTTTTGCGGTGGGTGCACCGAGGTTTACTCTTAAATATCTCCCTATTTACCTTAATAAATAATTAGTAGAATATAAGACTATCGAATATAGCCCGGTATTCGGCCCTAGTACTTTTATTCTTCTTTTTAGCTAAGTTAGTTACTAAACTACAACCTCGATTCAATTCTTTTTTGGACTTAATTACTTTATAAGTTATGATATTAAGATTAATAATAATTTTTTTGAGGAAGAAAAAAGGTAGATCCTCTTTATCTCCGAAAGTAGCTTGGTAATTAATATAACGTATAATATAGGCGAAGATTTCCTAAAAGAAATATATATTAATCTATAATATAATTAATTCTTTAAAGGTTTGTTACTTATGAGAATTATTATTATAACCGAATTCCAAAAGCTAGGGGTAATCCTTCGACATAGTTAGAAAGTAAGTATATAGTTTATCCTATAGGAATTTATTCTTTTGGGATTTATAGGTACCTTTAGCGTAGATACGAAGGCGGCGAAATTTAGATATACGGGTATCGATGCTAGGTACGGTTTATTTAACTACCTAGTTGGTAAACTAATTCGAATAGTATACAAATATATATTAATATATTTATTAATAGATTTCGTTGATAACCTCCTTTATTTCTTCGTGGGGGACGAACTATATAATATTTACCTCTAATTTATTGATATTAATATTAATAGGGTCGTATTCTATACGGGAGGGCGCGCCTAATTCCTTCAACGATATTAAATTAGTACAATTAGGGGTAAAGAAGTACTTAGGAAACCTCTCTTCAAGTGGGTATTAATTAGGGTCGTTAATAACTAGTTTACCGAATCTATTATTACTTTGGTTATAACTTCCTAACCAATGAGTGCCACCGGGTATTTATAGTGGTAAAGATTGACCGCTATGCTGAGGGCGGCTATGCTGAGACTGACTACCATGCTAAGACTGATTGCTATACTGAAAGTAACCGCTATGTTAAAAGTGACCGCTATATTGAGGGCGACTATACTGAGGGGCGCTATACTGAAAGTGACCTCTATATTGAGGGCCGCCATATAAATATCCATATTCGTTATATAGATTACTATATACATTATATAGATTACTATATTTATTATACTAGTTAGTATTCGCCGCCGCCCTAATAAGTCCAGCCGGCTTAGGGAAACTAGCCCTAAGAATCTTAAGAACTATAAGTTATATTACTACTATAAGCACTATTGCTATATTGCTGGGTGCTAGACTGTAATTAAGACTGAGACTGGTTGCTACCACCAGATTGGGAATGGGACTGAGATTGGTTGCTACTACTAAATTGGGAATAGGAACTATAATAAGACCTACTGTTATTAGTAATATTAGTAGAAAAGGCAGCCTCAAGCTCGAATACCGAATGGTCGTCTTATTCCGAATAATTAGTATAACTATTATAGCTAGTGTAGCCGATACGAGGGTCTCTACCGCTAGTAGAGGTATAGCTAGTAGTACGAGCGGTAATTGAATTAGTAATAGTAATAGGTATAAGTGAACGAATATAAGTACGAGGAGCTTATAGTATAGATGAGCTAGTTACGGCCGGTAGGGTAGTAGGGACCCCCTTTTATATAGAATTATCTTACTATTTCAAATATTGAATTTAGATAAGTAAATCGTCGAATCCTACATCGAGAAAATCCTTTGTAGTACTAATAATACTCTAGGTATTCCGTAGTAAATTCCTAGACTATTACTTTTATATATATTATTACTATTTTTAGGGAAGAGGTATAATACCTCTACCTCTACCTTAACTTCAAAGAGTTTAGGGAGTATATTTTTGCGGCCTGCCGGGCTGTGATTGTATTTTTGTATAGAATATACTAGGATATTTTAGAGAAACGGTCTACCATTATAAATATATTATTATATCCTTTTTTATTAGCGGGTATAGATTTGAAATCTATTACTAGACTTTTCTATAGCCGGCTATTGTTTATTGGGATAGAGTGTAGCTTTCCTAGTATTTTATTTCTTAGGTATTTAATACTTTATAATTCTAATAGTTTACTATAAATCTATCGACGTTAGACGTTATAGCCGGCTATTAGTATTATTTCTGTATTAGTTTTCTTATCTTTATTTTTTCCGGGTAGGCGATAAGTAATTAACTATATATATCCTGTAATGAATAGGTGCGATAGTCCTCTTTATTAGGTATTATTAACTTCCCTTTATAATAAAGTAGCTTATTATTTAATATAAATAAAGTATCCTTCTAAATTACTTTTTCTTTATAATTAGCTAATAATGGTGCCGTCCGGTTGAATTGTAGTATCTTATTAATTAGTACGGTGCCGGACAATCCGTTAACCATAGTAATTGGAGCTAATTCGGAGTAGGGTTTGTTGATGCTTGTTATGCCGGTCGAAAGGATTGTATATAGTTCGGCCGTATCGGTATTTTCTTTATCCCTGGCGAATACGAGATAGCCTTTATTATTTGGTTTTAGGAACCGTAAGGTATATTGGTCTTCCTTTTTTGCTTTAATAGTCTTAAGGTCTTTTAATTTTCGGAATAACGCGTTGGTAGTAATGTTCTCCTTCCCTAGCTTGTAGGCTATCTAGAATTAGTATTCCGATAGGATTTCTAATGAACGGATTTATTGGCTATTAAGGACTTTCTTACTATTAAAGAACTTTAGTATTTGATAGTCTATGATAATTGTAAATGGTTTTACCCCCTTTAATTCTAGTCTCTACTATTTAATTACCCTAATAATAATTAATAATGTTTTATTATATATTAGGTAATTAAACTTTACCGGCCTTATTGTTTTAAAGTAGAAGGTTATTAAATATTATTCTCCGTCGGACTATTTCTAATTTATAATTTCCGTATATACGCTATCCGATGTATTGGTTTCCAATTTAATTTCTAGTTTGTAATTAAAGTGGGTTAGTACTAGCGCTGCTAATAGTAATTATTTTAATATATTAAACGCTTCTTTATATTGCTTAGACTATTGGAACGGGTAGTCCTTTTTAGTAAGATTAAATAATAGCCGAGCGGTGCAATTCAAATCCTTAATAAATTTCTAATAGAAATTGTAGAAGTTGAGGAAGGCCTAAACTCCTTTGACCGTATTTGATTATTTCTAGTTTTCTATTATTATTACCTTCTCTAGATCTATTGTAATACTATTAATATTAATAATAAAGCTTAGGAATTTAATTCTAGTAGCGCCGAATTCGTATTTCCTATGGTTTATTTATAGGCCGGCTTTTTATAATTAGGTTAGAACCTTACGGACGTAATCCTTATAATTTTGAGTATTATGGGAGTAGATTCAAATATTATTAATGTACGTACTGTAAAAGATATTAAAGTAATTTACTAAAATATTATTAATAAATTGTTAGAAAGATAATAGTCCCTTTATAAATCCGAATGGTAATACTTTGTATTCGTAGGACCCGTACCTAGTTCGGAAGGTAGTTAGGTTTTTGTAATCCGGGTATATACGTATCCGGTGGAATACTTATTGGATATTGATTTTCGAAAATATTTTCGCTTGTCCGATTCGAATTAAAGTTTTATTAATTAGAGGTAATAAGTACTTATCCTTCTTTAATAACGTATTTAATTTATAATAGTTAATGTAAAACTGTAATCTTCTATTGGCTTTGGGTATAAAGAGTATAGGCGCTGCCTATAGGGTAGAGTTAGCTTCGATGAATCCCTTTTATAAATTATTTATAATATATTTCCGGTACTCCTCTAATTCCTTTAAAGTTATTTTGTATAACGAATTATACCCTAGATCGCTTAGTAATTTACTTTCTTCTATCAGGATTTAGTAATCTACCTTTTTTTCGATATGCGGGGAGAGTGTCCGAATTATATTTATTGAATACATTAATATAATTATAGTATTAGTATAGTAATTTTTCTAATATAAAGGTTCGGTACTCTTCGTTATTTAATAGTAGTAGTTAATTTTGTAGGCTTTCGATTAGATTATTAATTTTATAAAGATTTGTAGTTTTTATCTTCACTCCCTACTGGCAGTAATATTCGAATACAATTATATTTATAATAGTTCTATCCCGGGGTCTTTCTTTTACCTAGCCGAGTATTATTTTTAATTAGTAAGGGCCTTATTCGTCCGTTAAAGGGTATGTGGATTATTAACGGTTTACTCTTTTTGCCTTTTATATTGTTTGTTCTATTTGAGTAATTTCAGCGTCGGATGCATACTTGTATTTAATTCTATTGAATAAATTCTATTCTATTTATTCGATTTACGAGATTTCGGTACCTCTAATACGGTATTTGGTTATATGGAGTTCTTTAGAGCGCTAATTTAGGGAGAGATGATTGTTATTAGGAGATATTGTCTTCTTTCCTTAATTTAGCGGGGCCTAGGCTAATACTTCTAATTCTAAAATACAATTCTATAACAACCGTTCTTTTAGGGAAGTATTTCGTAGGCTAAATTCTATTACTCCTTCTTCTATATAGGTCGCTTCCTTTATTTTAATTATTATTAGCCCTCCTCCTATCTCTTTTATTATCTTTTTAAAGGCTACTATATTTTTCTCTTGTTTTTGGTTTTAGTATACCTAAAATAAGGCTCCGTCGGTTCGTCGTTTGTTTTTTTACGCTATTAATGCGTTTCGGCGGATTACGTCCTTTTAATAGTTTAGGTAGCGTAGTAATTCGGATGGTTTTATTACGAGGTTGTATATATTGGGTAAAGGGATTAAGGAATTCGGGAAGTATAGTAATCGGTTGTAATAATTGGCTAGAATTCTATAGTGCTCTAACTATATACGTTCTATAATTATATTACAACTTAAACCGGGTAGTATAATTATTTATTTATTAAAGAATTTGTACCCTTAAATATATAAATATATTTTAATTGTGTAGTTAATAACGTTTAGGGTTATTTATTAATAGGGGGTAATATATCCGGACTCGAAGTCTATATAAGTTTTAAATTGTAAGTATTATAGTTTTCTTAGGAAAGCATTACTTATAATAAAGTAAGCATCGGCGTTTATATTAATTAAAGTTCT